TTCATTCATGTGCTAACTTTATTTTTGTATCTATAGCGTTCCTGGCGATGTCCTTTGCATTCGTAGTCACCCTTTCGTTCTTAGCAATCAACGTAAAACGCCTAAGGTGAACAGTTTTAATATTTTTAACCGTGTACTCAAGAGCACAAAGCCTATAATTGGAATCGACCTGATTTAAATTTCATAGTAGATTAGTGTGTTTATTATATGTTATATGTCACTGTCTTTCCCTTAACGTTTTGTAGTAATTTGGCTGTACAGTATTCGTTGCGTATCTGACTCAATTGTGACCTGTCCTCTTAACTTCATGTTCAGTATTATTTACATACCATGAGTTAGAATCTTAACAGATTGGCCAATTTGTTGTGAGATCACTTAATAATTAGTGTATTAATACATATACAGTTGTATAAAAACATAATTTAACTATATAAAGTGTTATTAACTTCGATGTTAATTCTTACCATAACCTCATTTTATCAGAAATAATAACACCCAAATATGTTGGAAACATGAATCAACGTCTTCACAAGATTATGTTAAGTCAAATCAGCGAGGGTTAAGCATTGTATATTCGTTTAGCGATACTGACATGGTTGGCCGTAGTAGAGGTGATGAAGACTTCTCAAATCAGGACAGCACTAATGCCATCCCTCATGTAGGTTGCAGCTTTGCTACAGAGAGTATGTACGCTGAGATTCATAAAGCCACTGATAAAGCGAACACAGGAGGGTTGAGAAATGGGACAGGATTAAATCAGCCTACGAACCTCATCAAGCACACAGATATGTACGCCGAAATCAATACAGACTTACCTGCAACATCTAATAAATCCACAGATGCAGTCGTACCCATATATGCAAAAGTAAATAAAAAGAAATGAAAGACGGTTACTTTCGTAGTTGGATGAGAGGAGTGGTAAATTAGAAACATAATGACAGTGGACTGGTGGGTGGCAGTGTCGATATAAAGCGGGTTTTCCACTAGGCGAATATATTCGCTCGAATCAAAGCGTCGGTTCGCTTCCCGAGTTCTGATTGGTTGCACATTTTTTCGCTAGCAAAAACTCCGATAGAAATGTGAATGCACATGTGCATGAGCCGCCGCTTTCCTTTCGCGCGAATAAAACAGGATTAACGAATGTTAAAAGGTTAGAACTAGCACCGCCATGTGCAGTGGCGGCTCTAGTAGGATATATTTGGGGGGGGGGGGGGGGCTAAGTTGTTCGACAGAGGAGACTTGAGCTCGTATGCTCGAGCTGGAGGAAGGGATTGAGAGTG